GAGGGCCGCGCCTGAAAGGAAAGCAGGTGGAACTCTTTCGGGGGAGCAGGTCGTAGCGTGTGCTCCTCCTGCTCCCCCTCCTCCTCCTCGTCCTCTCTCAACCCTTGCACCCCTCACTCCGCTCCTCGCCCTTCCCTGCCCCTCCGTCTCCATCCTCCTCCTCCTCCTCCCTCCTCCTCCTCCTCCTCCCCTCCTCCTCCTCCTCCTCCTCCTTCCCCATCTTCTTTCTGCCTGCCACCTCGTCTCCCCCTCGCTCGTCTCCTTCTCCTCCTCATTCTTCTCCATCCTCCTCCTCCTCCTCCTCCTCCTCCGAATCCTGCTCCTCCTCCTGCTCCTCCTCCTCCTCCTCCTCCGCCTCCTCCTCATCCTATTTCCCCTCCTCCTTCTCCTCCTCCATCTCCACCTCGCGGATGGGAAACTGCCTCCCTAGACCTTCCTTCGCTCTCCTCCTCCTCCTCCTCCTCCTCCTCCTTCTTATCCTCCTCCCTCTCCTCTTTGAGCTGAAACGCCTGTGCGGCAAGACTGACAAACAAACACCGCTTTAGGCGTCAAGGCCTCAGTAGGATGTGCAAACGGAGGCAATCTATGCGAAAACAGCCGGGCAGGGCCAATACGCCAATCTGAGAGGGCAGAGAAGGCTTCGAGCAAACACAGCGTGCGATGCAGAGGAGGATGAAGAGAAACCACTCCTCCTCTTCCTCCTCTTCCTGCCCTTCCTCCTCATCCCTCTCCTCCTCGAAGGCGGGAAACGGCCTCCCGAGACCGAATGCGTTGGAAATTCAATCGGATTCTTTGTTGACGCCTGGACGTGGTGTGCCGAAGCGACTTGACATTAATAGGGGCACCTGTGCATCAATGCCCGAGGCATGGGCATGGAGCAGGTGGGTTGTCATGGAACGCGTTGGGAAGAATAGCTGCTCCGCGGGTGGGACCCCACACGACGAGCATCCGCCAAAGTGATCTGGAGGAACACCTCGTTCTTGTGATTGCAGAAGCTCGCCTCCTTCTCCCTCTCCTCCTCCTCCTCCTCCTCCTCCTCCTCCTCCTCCAGCTCCTGCTCCTCCTCCTGCTCCTCCTCTCTCCTCCTCCTCCTCCTCCTCCTCCTCCTCCTCCTCCTCCCCCTCCTCCCCCTCCTCCCCCTCCTTCCCCCTCCTCCCCCTCCTCCCCCTCCTCCCCCTCCTCCTCCTCCTCCTCCTCCTCCAGCTCCTACAGCTCCTCCTCCTCCTCCTCCTTCTCCTCCTCCTCCTCTGCTTCCTCCTCTGCTTCCTCCTCCCTAGGAGTGCAGACGCGAAGGCAACTGCACAACTCGGATGGCCCGCTCGGACTCGAGCACGGAGGCGTGGACCCCGCAGGGGGAGGGCTCCCGCTCGAGACTTCCTCGCAAAGGGCCCCCGCTGCACATTCGCACTAGGCTCAGGCCTATAGAGGCCTCCTATTACCAGCCTGGAACAGATCCCTATCCCTATGCTGGGCACCTCCTCATCACGGTGCCAATCTTAGGGATTCCCTTACGTTTTGAAGGCGAATCCCTAAGATTGGCATCGCCTTTTGGCGTATCAATCTTAAGGATAGGGATACTTTCGAGGCTGGTAATCCTAGATGGGGTCCGCGTAGATGGGGTCGGAGGATCCCGCCGCATCGCCAATGCATCGCCGATGCATCTGCGATGCATCCGCGATGCATCAACGATGCAACGGCGATGCATCGGCGGTGTATCGGCGAAGCCAGCGCGGAGAACATCGGGCTCCGCATCGAGCCGCATCGCCGATGCAGCGGCGATACAGCGCAATCCTGCGACCCCCGTCTACTTCGACCTCCTTCGAGGAGGAGGAGGAGGAGGAGGAGGAGGAGGAGGAGGAGGCCTGGAGCCTAAGGAGCCAAGAGGCCCGAGATTCGGTTGGCCCGCGCGGCACCACACATGGGCGGCGGGGGCCCCCACAGGGGAGGGCCCCGCCGCTCGACACCGGCCGCGCGACTCTCGCTCACAGACGAAGGCGCCCGCTCCCGTGTGGAGCCGTTTGGCCTGCCGGGCCCCCAAGGACCCCCTCGTGGCCCCTCCGCGGGTTTGGAGGGCAGACCTCCCTCCTCGGGAGGGAGACCTTTTCCTCCTCCCCTTTTTGTTCCTCGCCTTGAGGGCCCCCAGCTTCAGCTCCAGCTCATCCAGACCGAGGACTGGGGAGCCCAACGCCTGCGTCAAGTACAAGGTTCGGACGACTCGTACGGGTTCGAGCATGGACGCGGGGAGCCCCTAGGGAAGGGGGCTCCGACACGAGAGGTCCTCGAGATGCTCTCACAGACGAAGCTCCCGCTCGAGACTTCCGACCGATTCAGGCCTGACGACTCTACAGTTGACGACGGCTACGGGATTCGGATGGCCCGCCCGGGCTCGAAAATGGAAGAGGGGATCCCGTATGAATGGGGATTCCCGCTTGAGACGTCCTCGCGATTCACTCACAAAATGAAGCTCCCACTCAAAACCTCCTCCATATTCAGGCCTGGGAAGCACAAACGCGACGACAATTACAGGATTTGGATGACCCGCTCGGAATCAAACATGGAAGAGGGGACGCCAGAGGGATTGGGCCCCCGCTCGAGACTTCCTCGTCCTCCACCCACAGAGTTGGAGTGGGATGACCCGCTCGAACTCGAGCATGGGAATCGGAGACCCCGAGGGATGGGGCTCTCGCTTGAAACGTCCTCGCGGATCACTCCCTGACGAAGCTCGTGTTCGAGGCATCCTCCAGGTTCACGCCTGAGGAGCCAAGCACGACTACAGTTGCAAGATTCGGCTGACCCGCTCGGAATCGAACATGCAAGTGTGGACGCCTTAGGGAGGGGGCTTTCGCTCACGACTTTCTTGCGGTTCACTCACCGACGAAGCTCCCGCTCGAGACCTCCTAGTTCCTTCAAGTTCAAACCTGAGGAACAGCCAGCAACGACAGTTATCGCATTCGAGTGACCCGTTCGGATCCGACCATTGGGATGGGGCCACTGCCCGGAGCTTCCTCGCGGTTCACTCACCGACGAACCCCCGCTCGAAATTTCCTCCAGGTTTAGGCCTGACGAGCCAAAAGCCACGACCACTATGTGATTCGGACAACCCGCTCGGACCCGAACGCGGAAATCGGGAACCCATCGGGAGGCCCCCCCCGCTCGATATACCTCCTCGCGGTCCACGCACCGGGGCGGAGCCCCCGCTCGAAACCTCCTCCAGAGTCAGGCCGGGGGAGCCCACATGTAGCGACGGTTCCAAGATTAGGTCGGGCATGCCCCTCTACAGGTGGATTTTGGGCGACCAGGTAATCAAACAATGTTCAAACTAGTCGAATAATCGACAACAGATAACCCCCAATAATTTTGTTAACAGTTCTCCTGCAGAGAGCATGCCCGACTGAATTCCAAGATCTGGATGACCCGCTCGGATTCGAACGCGGAAGTGGGAACTCCATAGAAGAGGGGGTTCCTGCTCGAACTTTCCCTGCGATGCACCGATTCACTCACAGGGGGAGATCCAGCTTGAGACCTTCTTCAGATTCAGGCCTGAGCGACGATAAGTGTGGAAGGTGATGCTGATGGTGATAATGACGATGATTATGAGGAAAATGATGATGAGGAACATGATGATGCTGATAATGATGACGGGTGATGATGATGATGATGATGATGATGATGATGATGATGATGATGATGATGATGATCCTTGATAGTGATGATGATAATGATGCTGATGCTGATGATGAAACTGATCATACTGATGATGGTGACTCTGATGATGCTGAGTATGATGATGATGATCATGATGATGATGATTATGATGATGATGATGATAATGATGATGATGATGATGATGATGATGATGATGATGATGATGACGATGAGGATGATGATGCTGATGTTGATAATGATGAGAGTCAAATGGCGAGTGTAGAAGGACAAGAGAGGAGACGGGGGTGTGCATGACAAACAAGAAACACGCTTAGGATGAGAAACGCAAACAAACTGCATCAACATACACGATCGGAGGTCCGCGCGGATTTTGTGGGACGCCCATCCCTGGCGCGCGGAAGAGCGCCAGGGGCGGCGCTGGAAGCGTCGCGAGGGGGTCGCGGCAGATCATGACGTTTGAATGCTCATGCTCATGCTCAGGCCGGGCCAGGCACCGCTTATGCTCATGCCGATGGAATCCCTCGAGTATTGACCGATCGACCGACCGACGGCGGCAAGGGCCAACCGACGACGGGTGGCCGCGGAGGGCGCCAGAGGGCCCTCCCCACCGAACCGGGCCGAACGACGACGCGGCACCGAGGCGCCTCCTGGGCGTCTGAAGGCGCGGGCTCCGGCAGCGGCTCGAGCTCCCCGTCGCTGCAGCCGCCGCTGGCGGCGGTGGAGTCGACGGAGGGCGTGGGCGAGGCCTCTTGGTGGGGGGGGCGGGGAGGAACTCAGGGCTCCGAGGAGACCCAGAGATCCGAGGTCGTGATCTTCCATGCGGGGTTGCCGGGAAACTCGACCCATTCCCCAGGACCGGTTTGTCATCCTGGGTGGATTTTTGACAACCCCGAGGCCCTGCAAGGGCTCGTCGAGGCCGAAGACTACGAAAAAAACCTCCGTCATGATTCTCTCAATGCGCTGGGTCTCTGGGGACGATGTGTTCGATCAGGGGCGTGCTTGCCTCGCGGCGTTCCGGGGGCGTGTTCGGGCCCAACGGGCCCATCAGAACTGGGTCGGGGCCGACAGACTGGCCCCTGGGGAAGGGGTCGGGACTTGGCGGGCCCCCGATGAGGATCGGAGGAGGGCTAGTCCGCAGACGTTGAACGTCTTGAAGAAATCCACAGATCGGGGGCACGCAGACATGGATCAGCGATGCACGGATGTGGCGCGTGGTCGCCAAATCCATGGATAGGGGGAGGTGCCCTCCCCAAAATGCGGCCGGTGCCGCCTCGCTCGGCGGCGGAAATCCGCTATCTCCTATGGAAACATTGAAGCCTCAACCCCTGTTTCATGAAACGCGCACAGATCCCGACGGAGGACCACGTTCAGCACAGGAGCTCCGAAAGGCGTCCCGAGCGGGAGCCCAACTGAGCGCAAGTTAAGGTAGCTACAGCTCAGGCAAACGTCAGCCAAGGGTCGGCCGATTTTGCGATTTAGTTTCGTCGTCGTCAGAACTGAGCAGAAAATGAAAACGACCCACGAGATTACCGAAAACAGCGATTTGGCCGACCCCTAGTAGCTACAGCGCCTCACAACTCGCCAACGCGAGGGTGGGTGTCTTTGATCTAAAAGGGATTGCCGAAACAAATCCTGGCCTTGGCATCGAAATCTGATGCGGGGAAACTTGAAGATGCCAAGATACCGTACGCCGCTCGGTGCAACTCAATGGATATAGTTCTCAGCGTTTGCAGCTGCAGAGAACTGAGGCATTCATGTGGCGAAGATTCTGCTCTGACGTTTAGCTTCATCACTTTGGCCTTCCTAGACGTCGCGCACGTGTTCGCAGCATTGAAGTCATCGCAGACAATATCGGTCATCTTATCGGGGCCCATCACGTGCACCTTCACAGCAGAAAAATGAGCGGCGTAGCGACTATGTAGAGAAGTCGTGAACGAGTAGTTGTACGCGTAGTGCTCCATCTGTGAAACGCTTCGCCAATCTGCGAAGGTCAATTCAACCTGCCCGTGAGCCTTGAGCTGCCGATACCAACTTGCGATCCAATCGTAAAATGGTCGGTAAACCATCACGATGGTGGTACTGATGTAGCTTAAGTCAAACGCGAGCTGTGCGACGCTGGTGTCATTGATCTGGTCGAAACGCTCACTAGACATCACTACCATTTTTTGAAGTCCCTTTGAGCTGGTCAAGAAAGTGCAGCCAATCTGAACAAAGTGTTTCTGTGTAGTCCCTGCACATGGACTGGGACGACAGATAACACTCTGCAACATTCGCGATTTGAGTCATTCGTACATGCATAATGTGCCCGAACTGCGCAGGGTCTTCCCACGTCCAGCCGTCACTTGTTAGAGTCTGCCAAGCTTCAAGTTGTTTCCGAATTGTTGTCGAAGCAGTTTTGTGGGGGCCCACATGAAGCCACAGTCTTGCACCCCTTTCCGTTGAATTAGAACTTGATTCACCCATTGCCCATGTATCAATCCGCACATGGCCCAAAAACACTAACGCGGCGGATAACTTCATCTGACACGGGCCCTTGAGCCAACATGGCTACGGGCTCTCTTGGGGCCGCCTTGGGGCCCTCTGAAGCCGCTTTGGGGCCCTCTTGGCCCGTCGTGGGGCCCTTGGGCCGCGTCACTCGAACAGATACGAGGAAACGGGCCATGGGAGCCGCCCGGGAGCCGCTTCACTCGACAAAATAACGAGGCGCGAGAGCAACTAGACTGTTGTTCCCCCGCTAGCCCCCTCCCCCAGACCCCCTCCCCATAAGGGCTTCGCCCCCTGCGAAACGTCTCTTGCTCGTATATCGCTCTTTCCGTCATCCGCCGCCTCCTGCTGACTTATCACAGGGGTGCATGGCGTGATAGACGTCTGCTGGCTCTAGGTTCTTGGGTTTCGGCCCAGCGCGCCAGCCGCTGGGAGAACTCGTCCAAACCCGGCTGGCAAGGATTTATCTGCTGCAGATGGCTCTGATATTGCTCAAGATGGCTTCCAAGATGCCTCCAAGACGGGCAGGGGCAAGATGGCCCCAAGAGAGCGCTAGATAGCCTCAAGATGGCTTCAAAGACGGTCCCAAGATGCATCCAAGATCGCCAAGATGGTCCAAGAGAGCCCAAGACGGCCCGAGGAGCGCCCAAGAGGCCCCGAAGACAACCCAAGAAGGCTCTTTGTCATTTGCTCAAACACGGCCTTCCGACGGCCCAGGAGGCCCCCAAGATTGTCTCGAGATCGCCCATAGAGACCGTCAAGATGGCCCCATGTCGGCCCAAGGACGCCCCAAGGCGGCTCAGAGAGGCTCCCAAGACGGCTTCTGACGGCGTCAGACGGGCTAGGAACGCTGCAAAACTGCCACAGATGCCTACAAGAAGCCCCCAAAGGCCCCCAAGAGGCCCAAGGAGGCCCCCAAGGAAGCCCCCAAGAGGCCTCCAAGAGGCCCCCAGGAAGCTCCCAGGAGGCCCCAAGAATGACCCGAACAGCTTCCAAGCGGGCTGCTCATCTTTCTCCTCCTCCTCCTCCTCCTCCTCCTCCTCCTCCTGTATCCTCCTTCTCCTCATCCTCCCCTTCCTCCCCCACGTGTTCCTCAAAGGGCTTCCGCAGCGGCTGGGGAAGGAATGGCGCACAAGCGTGGCCAAACGTTGCCCAAACGTTTGGCCACATAGGCGTACCATGAAAGGCAGGAGGCGGCGGTGTCTCGCCGTGGGCGTCTCCGATCCGCCGCCCCTTGTATTACTTGCAAGAGACGTTATTGGCGTGCTGGGCAACAACCGTTTATACCCTGACAAGATGTTCCCCATGGCTTCTGGCACACCCCGGCGGCAACACTGAATAGCCCCGAAGAAGCACAGAGTCCTCTCCCATGGCCTCCAAGGCGGCCAAGATAGCCCAAGATGAGCTACAAGACGGTCCCAAGGTGCCTCCAATACGTCCGAGATGTCCCTAAGAGGGTCCAGGATGGCCCAAAGGCGCATCCAGGACGGCCCACGAAGCACTCAGGACGGCCCGAGATGGCCTCCAGACGGCTCAAGCGGCTTCTAAGGCGCTCCAAAGTGATGTTATGAGGATCTCCAGGAGGCGCTCAGGAGGCCAACAATCAGTGATGCCCCGACGGCCTTCCAAAGCTTCGGAGCATCGCCCCTTCGGGCTTCCACGAGCGAGGGCGGCCTCAGATGCTTCAAAGATAGCGCCAGGGCGACCCACGAAGCACCAAGCTGGGCCCCGAGACGGTCCAAGAGCGCCCCAATAGGGCCCAAGAGGCTCCCAATACAGCCCTACACAAGACGACTCCAGAGACCTCCAAGACTGCCCGAAAGCGTCATCTCTTGGGGCGCATCCTTGACTTCCGCCTCCTTCCGTCGGCCTTCCGCCAGCTTCCGCCGGCGGAGGCGGCCTCGTTCTACTTCTGCCGCCTTTCGCTGGCCGTCCGCCGCCTTCCGTCGAGGGAGAGATGGCAACTCCTTCAATCCTCGAAGGCATGGCCCTTTCTGGAACGCCCCATACAGTCAACCAGTATAGTAACGATGCGCGATAAGGATACAAGGTCCTTGGACGCCCGTGTCGAAGCTTTTCGAGCGGGGCGCGGCCAGCGAAAGCGACGAAGGATGCACCGAGGAGGCAAGGATGCAAGGGTACCCTCGGTAAGGTTGCCCATCCTTACTATGCAGGTTGACTGCATTGTCAAGTCGCTATCCCTTTACCTCTTCCTCTCCCCCCAGCTAAAGGGCGGGGCTGGGCCTGGGGCCCTCTTGGGGCTCTCTTGGGGCCGTCTGGGGGCCCTCTTGGGGCACTCTTGGGCCGTATGGGGGCCCTCTTGGACAGTTTCCGGCCCCTTTGGGGGGCCTCTGGGGCCGTCTTGGGACGATCCTCTGGCCCGTCTTGGGACTATCACAGAATTCGTACGTACAGACGGGCCAGAGGAAGGAGATAGCCAACTCCAGGGCGAGAGAAAGACGGAGGACAGAGATAGAAGGGAGGAGGGAGTGCGGCCATTGTTCCCGCTGACAGCGGTCAAGCGCAAAAGCTGAGTTCCTCCAAAGGAGCTGCTAGCCCTCGCAAGGAAAGACCATGCCTGGCAGCGCAGCTGTGGGAGGATGGGGGTCTCAGCCCGCTGAGTGCATAGCAAGGGCAGTGAGATGCATTCTGGCCGGGTGAGATAGCGGCCATGGTCTGCAGCTGTTCCGCGGCAGTCTGCTCGTGCCGCGAGGCCTCCCTCGCAAGGAAAGACAATGCCTGGCAGCGCAGCCTGTTTCATGAAACGCGCACAGATCCCGACGGAGGACCATGTTCTTCAGCACAGGAGCTCCGAAAGGCGTCCCGAGCGGGAGCCCAACTGAGCGCAAGCTAAGGTAGCTACAGCTCAGGCAAGCGTCAGCCAGGGGTCGGCCGAGTTTGCGGTTAGCTTCGTCGTCGTCAGAACTGAGCAGAAAATTATCCAGGCGAAGGACCCAACCATATGCAGTTGTGAGTATCGCAATTGTGAGTATCTTCTTCGGTGGCGCTCCCTATGGGGCCACGAACCGCATGAGGGGTGTGCCGAAATGTGGCGGGGTACACAACGCAAAGGAATACGATAGATCTGATTACGAGAGAAAGAACGCGGGTGAGTCAGAGCGCGAGGGAATCTGAGTATGAATGGGTCTGCGCGCGAGTGAATATATTTGCATGAATGCGATCATGGAACCGCCTAGTGTAAGTGTCGAGCATGCCTGTCCGAACACACGTGACACTGGGCGTGGCCGCCGCAGGCAGCTTCCGCGGGAACCCCGACGGCAGCGTCCGCACGTCGCGACGCCCATGTCGGCACGCCTCTTGCGAGGATCGCGCCCGCTTTCGGCTCTTCTTTTCCTTCCTCTTTGCCCGCGCACTCCAAAATCCAAGGCTGCGGGCGCAGCGCAGCGCGGAGTCCCCGCGACGCGCGCTGGTCGCCCCGGGCGGGGTCCCAGCGACGCGCGCGGGTCGTCCGCTGCGCGAAGCAGAGAGAGCTGACTAGCTAACTGGCTGGCTGATAGCGGGCAAGTCTCTGACCGCTGGGCAGAGCGACGACGGGCGAACGAGGCGCCGGGCCCCCCGCAGCACGGAGTTCCCGCGACGCGCGCTGGTCGCCCCGAGAGGGTCCCAGCGACGCGCGCGGGTCGTCCGCGGCGCGAGGCCAAACAATTAGTCGGGCAGTCGAGAGAAGGCGCGGCTCGGGGGAGACGCTCCTCAGGTCAGGCCTCGCGGATGAACTCGGTGAAGCCGAGCTCCCTGGCGAGGGCCGTCGCTTCCCTCCTGCACCGCTTCGTGCGCGCCGCAAACTGCTCCAGCTGCTTCCGCAAGCCCTGCGGCGGCCCTGCCAGGAAGAACTCGATGCGCGGCGCCCGCATGAGCAGGAGGTCCTCGTGGCGCGTGGCGCGCGAGAGCAGCACGTAGAGCTCCAGCCACCAGTCGTCGTCCTCCTTCTTGCCGTTCCCTACCTCGTGGCGGCCGCAATCCAGGATCACGCCTGGGCGACGTCGACCGAGGGAGCAGCGCGCCGGGCAGCCGACGGCCCAGGGCGAGAGTCCACAGGACCGAGAGATGGTCTGGCCGCGGACTGCTCGCGCCCCGGAGGTCTGGCCGCCCCCGGAGCGCCGTTCCCCCGCCCCGTCGCCTTCGCGCATGGTGCGCCCCTGGCACGCCACCGTGGTGATGACCCTGCCGTGCGAGAAATGCGGGGGGTGTGCCGAAATGGGTGGGGGTGACGCATGCGGGCGGCGGCACTGAGGCATTCGGTGGAGCTCCCTATGGAGCCACGAAACGTGTGAGGGGTGTGCCGAAATGGGTGTGGGTGACGCATGCGGCCGCGGGCACTGGGGCCTTCGGTGGAGCTCCCTATGGAGCCACGAAGCGTGTGAGGGGTGTGCCGAAATGGGTGTGGGGGACGCATGCGGCCGCGGGCTCTGGGGCCTTCGGTGGAGCTCCCTATGGAGCCACGAAACGTGTGAGGGGTGTGCCGAAATGGGTGTGGGGGACGCATGCGGCCGCGGGCACTGGGGCCTTCGGTGGAGCTCCCTATGGAGCCACGAAACGTGTGAGGGGTGTGCCGAAATGGGTGTGGGGGACGCATGCGGCCGCGGGCACTGGGGCCTTCGGTGGAGTTCCTCCCTATGGAGCCATCATGACTGGGCGCCTTCGGTGGAGCTCCCTATGGAGCCACGAAACGTGTGAGGGGTGTGCCGAAATGGGTGTGGGTGACGCATGCGGCCGCGGGCACTGGGGCCTTCGGTGGAGCTCCCTATTGAGCCACGAAACGTGTGAGGGGTGTGCCGAAATGGGTGTGGGGGACGGGCGGGCATGGGGACGGCCGGACGGGTGAGGGGTGTGCCGAAATGGGTGTGGGGACGCATGCGGCCGCGGGCACTGGGGCCTTCGGTGGAGCTCCCTATGGAGCCACGAAACGTGTGAGGGGTGTGCCGAAATGGGTGTGGGGGACGCATGCGGCCGCGGGCACTGGGGCCTTCGGTGGAGCTCCCTATGGAGCCACGAAACGTGTGAGGGGTGTGCCGAAATGGGTGTGGGGGACGCATGCGGCCGCGGGCACTG